GAAGGACCCGAAGAAGGATGGCTTCAAGGCTTCGTTTCAAGTGCCAAAGAACCCGGATCATGTCATACTGAAGTTTGGACGCAGTGAAGATGCTGGCAACAGTACGGAACGTATGACGGCTCCGGAAGAACGATTGAGGCGGAGTGTTTTGCGTCCGGGAGACCGTCAAAATGTTGGTGCTGTTGGAGCGCGCCGTGGAGGGGTTGTGGGGACGAAGGGGATGGGAGGCATCGGAAAGTCTTGCGCCCTACGCGGTCTGGCCTCGGATGAAGAGGTTCGCAGCCGGTTTTGCGACGGTATATACTGGCTGGTGCTCGGTCAAGACGCGACAGAACGAGGAGTAATGGAACAGCTGGCCCGCATCACGAGAGAAAGCGGAGGGGAAACGCAAGCGAAGGCGGTGCGTGAAGAAAGCGTGCTAGAATCTGCGGTTTCGAGGGTCACAGAGTGGTTCAAAGGGAAGACAATTTTGTTACTTATCGACGATGTCTGGAGAGAAGGCATGGTCGGGGGAGAAGGCATAGCCGGGAGTAAAGCCATGTCAAGACTGAGAGAAATTGCGGATGTAGAGAACAGCAGCCGTACAGCGTTCACAGCGCGAGAGTGGGGCGTGGTGGAGGGAAGCGAAGAAATCCAATTTTCGACAAAAGAAGATGCTTCCTCTCTGGAAATCTTGCTGAAGTCTGCTGACCTACAACTTGAAGAGGTTGAGGGCCTGGGGGATCAAACGGAGAGGATACTGAGATTTTGCGGTGGGCTTCCGCTTGCGCTGTCCGTGGTTGGCAGAGCGATTGCGAGACATCGTGAGATTGCGAAAGAACTTTGTCTGAAAAATGTGCTTGATGAGTACTTGGAGTGTCTGGAAGCTACATCGTCAATACTATTGGACGAAAGAGCGGATGAGACGTACGTATACAAGAACCTGTCAATGGCGTTTAAAGCTTCGCTGTGCATGATGGATCGGGAGAAGGCCCGAGGAGATGAGCAGTTGATGTCCTACGCCGAGATGTACGAGTCGCTGGTGGTCATTCGGCGCCAAGGATGGTTGCCGTTGAGTGTGCTCTGTTTGTTATGGAGACAGAAAGGAAAAGCTCAGGCATTGAAAGTGCTGCACGAATTCGTGGAGGCCAGTCTAGTGGAACGAAAGGATGGAGTGTCAAGTGGTCGCAAGATCGCCGGAGTCAGGTTGCACGATTTGCAGCTCGATTACGTGCAACAGAGATGTGGGAATGGGGGAGAGAAGAGGTGGCATGAAAAGCTTGTGCAAGAATGGCAATGGAACGAGAGTGAGAACAGGCAAGAAGCGCCGCCGTGGGTTTGCGGGAGAGGGTGGAAGAAGGATATGGTGGAGGACGAGTATTTCCGACACAACTTGTGCCGCCATCTCAAGGGGGCGCGGCTGGGCGAGGATTTGTGGGATGTTTTGAGTGATGCCAGGTGGGTGGCAGAGAAGTTAACTCGGGCAGAGGGGCTAAGTCTTCAAGAGGATTTCAAGATTTTGACGGACATAGCCGGGGAAGACGGAGAACGGTGCGAAGCGGGAGGCAGGCTGTGGTCGTTGCAGAAGATTGCTAGACAGGCGAGGCTGAGTGCGTCCTTTGTTCGTCGAAATTCGAGAGAGGTATGGTTTCAGCTGTACGATGGTCTGCTGAGATTCAGGAACGAGTCGGAAGTAATTGGAGAGTTCTTACGCAGGATAGAGGAAGTTGCGGAGAAGCCGTGGTTGAAGTCGCTTACACCTGGCTTGAACGTATCAGGCGCGGTGCAAGACATATTTCCGGACCAGGGGAGGGTGGTGGGAATGTCGGGATGCGCAGCTAAGAACGAAGTGATCGCTTGGGGGGATGATGAGAAGCATCTGTTTCGTCGGACATTCCGGGACGGGGAAATGGAAGAAAACGTGTTGTTTGAAGTGGCATGGGGTGTGAGCAGGTTTTGGTCGGAGAACGGAAAGTACGTAGCGGTAGTACAGGCAGATGGAACAAGCGTGCAGGTGTGGGATATGCATACAGGAGCTACAGCGGAGCGAGTCGGACAGGAACTGGATGTAGGGCACCTGGATGTAGAGAGTTACAGTCGCCCTTTTGACTTGACGGGGGATGGAAAGCGAGTAGCGTTTGGGAGAGAAGATGGTGTGGTTGTGTTGTGGGATGTTGAGAGAGGTGTGAAGATCAAGGAGGCAGCGAATATGGGGGGCCATGTTGTTAAGAAAGTATCGCTTTCACCGGGCGGGAAACGGTTGGCGTGCACGGGAGAATGCGGCTCAAACGGGTCAATTTTGATACTGTGTGCAGAGACAGGGGAGATGGTTCGGGTGATTGGCTTGCCGAGTATTCGACTAGCCGACTGCGATTGGACCAAGTGGTTGATTTCGTGGTCGAACAATGGAAAGCGAGTCGCGTGCGTGTTCGCGATGAAACTTAAACAAGGATCTGTTGTTGAAGGAATATCTGTATATGAAGCAAGATTGTGGATCTTTGACGGGGAGACTGGTAGGAGTATCGCGGAAAGCCCGCCTTTGAAACACGTTCTCTGTATTGCATGGTCGGAGGACGGGACGCGGTTGTACTGTGGCGAGTACTGTGGCGGCGGGCAGGGTGTGGTGTCGGTATGGGACGGACGCTCGGGGAAGAGAATATCGGAATTTGATGATTTTTGGGCAGCGGCAATATCTCTGTCCGGGGATGGGAGATGGTTGGCTGCTTCCAGTGGCCACGGGAAGGTTTCTGTGAGGGACACAGAGACCGGGGCAGAAGTACGGCGGCACATGTCGATACACAGAGTGGGGGTTACGGTCTTGGGCTGGCTAGAAGATGGAAAGCGGATGTTTTCTGCGGATAATGTTTCCAATATTGTCATTTGGAGGTGGGATAATCTGGAGAGGTTGCAGGAGGAGGAAGAGGAAGTCGACAAGGTCAACAAGGAAGGGCAAGAATTCACGGCTGTTGCGTGGTCAAGCGATGACATATGTGCTACTGATGTTGGAGACGGAGACGTAGTGATGTACGATGTGAAGACGGGGAAGAAGATGTGGGGGGATGCTGAGACACACGCAAGCCCTGTGCATTGTCTGGAGATGTCTGGAGATAGCAAGCGGGTGTTTACGGCAGCAGAAGATGGAACGTTTGCGATGTGGGACAGCAAGACGGGCGACAAGTTGTGGGAATGCGGGGAAGACCGGGCCAAGTATGGTTACGCACAAGCAAAAGCATGTTGGTCCAATGATGGGACGAGGGTGTTCGTGTCGTTTGGATATGTGATGGGGTTGTGGGACGGGAAGACTGGGAACAAGTTATGGGAGAGAATCACAGACGGCTACATGCATATCAGGTGCATGGCGTGGGCTGGAAACGACACGAAGATCGCGCTTGGCGGTAGGAGTAACGACGGCAGGGTCGTGCTGTTAAGCGCCAGAACGGGAGAGGCGATCAGGGTGGCATGTGGGCATACAGATGGCAGGGTCGTGCTGCGGGGCGCCAAGACAGGAGAGACGATGGGCGATGCCCCCGAACGTGTCCCAGATTCGGTCGGCCTGAAATGGGCTGCGGACCAAGGTCTGCTTGAGTGGTATTCAGACGAATTTGCAGACGAAGTTCACATAGATTGGTTCAACTTTGTGAAGCGGCCCTGGAGAGAAGGTGAAGAAGGTGTGCGGGCTTCGTTCTCTGTTGAGCGGGCTCCGTTCTCTGTTGGGCGGGGGCGGGCTCTGTTCCCTTTTGACTATTCTGATTCGGCTGGTCCGGTGAAGTGGTCTCCAGATGACAAGTGGATCGCGTCAACTGGATATAATATGTCTTGGTCTCCAAATTCTGATGTTGAAATTGATGAAAATGGGAAACCAAGCAGAGGCGGAGTTATGATCTGGAATTGGGAGACAGGTGTAACATATCGGTACCAGCTCTATGAGTATGGTTTACCACGCTATCCGCTGGAATGGTCTGACGACGGACGACGCGTAGCCTTTGGAATTGGAAGAGAGCTTGCGATATGGGATATTGAGACAGGGGTGATGTTAAGGTATAGCACAAACAGTGAACATCTAACGCATATTGCTTGGTTCCGGGACGGGTCGCGAATGGCGACGTTGCGTGGAAGAACGTTACTAATCCTGTCCGTGACGAGTCAAAGCGTTGTCTGCGAAAAGCAATACGATGGTGTTGAGTATCTCGAAGAGAGCGATCTGCGCCAGTTCATCGATACGAATGAGGGCACACTCACGGCGGCGGATCTAGGGAGGAAACTGGAGAGGAAACTGAGGATTCGGCAAAAGGGAGATGGAGTGTGCTACAAGACAGGAGATGACGAAATCCGCCTAGCAACCGTTGCGGGATATCCTTGGTACTGTTCTACTTCAGGTCGGCACATTGCGATCCAGGTAGAAATTGGTTCTTATGCAAGACTGCACTTTTACGAGCTCTTGGAGTAGTGTGATTGTAAGTGTGTGAATAACCACTGGGCAAAAGCGGATGTCCCGGCCAGGACAGGAGGGGTTGTACCCACGGTGTATGTAGTAAGGGATGATGTGCCAGGAGAAATTTGTATGTATTTGAAGTTGTTTCTAGTTACCCGACGCCTCGATGCCCCTCTCCGCAAAAAAAGTAGCCGGCACATCTTTTCTATGTGTCGCGCGCAGTTGCGTCAGTGTGCGGGGAATAGTGTCGTCCAACGTAGAGACTGCGCGTAGCGAGACCAGCAAACAAAACTGGAGGCGGAACAGGCACATACGATATCAGTCGTTGTAGTATGAAGTTCAAGATATGCACGGCGGATTTGCGGTGGTTTTCGCTTTGTCAGGTATTAGAAACCTTGACGACGGTGTTAGCGTTGAGGTTGACGGCATGTGTAGTGTCGAAGACGGGCGGTCGTCGGGAGGCTGTGGCTTGTTGGTAGTGGTGGGGGGTGCATGATGGAGATGAAGAGGTTGTGTGAAATGGAGGTTTTGGCTTGTTTGGACACGGGCAACTGCTCGTGCACGGACACTCACACATTAATGTGTATTAATGTGTAAGTGTGTTGAGTGTCCCTGTTCCAACCATCTCTTAAGAGATGGTTGGAAACAGGGAGGAAGAAGACAGGGGTACGGGATACCGCCGTGGCTATCCGATCAGCACTTGTTTGTGGTTACACCGTCAAGTAGACCGAGGCCAGGCACTCTTCCTTGTGCTCGGTGGGATGGCCAGAGACGACATTGTTTCCTGCCGCGGCCATTCTTGCTCGCCGGACATTCTCACTCACCGGAGGTACGACAGTCAGAAACACGTTGCAACCTGAATGTGATATATACATGTATAGTGAAGTCCCTTCTGCAATACACTGCAATACATTTCACATACTTGTACGTGTACAAAAAATGGCGGGAGAACGAGAGAACGAGTGTGTGTTTTGTTCACCGTCGAGGGCTTGGATGACGTTCCCTTCAGTGAGGATGAGGGTGTCGTCGGCGGAGGCGATCGGGATAGAAAGGGGGGGAAACGAGAGGGCGGCGATGGGAACGGCGGTGCACCGGGAGGGGCGAGTCTAATGGCCATTTCTGAGTTGTGAGTTGCTGCATTTTTCTTTGCTCAAGACCTTGTTTCAATTAAAAAAGCGTTTATATAATTTAATACTGTAGCGCACAAGGGCCGACTCTCAGCACCCGGCGCCTACCGCTACGTGATCAACTTTCCGTGATCAACTTTCCGTGTTGCCAAACCAAAGGCATCAACCCCTCCTCGTCCTTCTCCGGCACCTTGACGCCGTCAATCTTCGTCAAAACAATGTGATGGTCCTGCACATCCTCGGTATGCTCAATCGTGCAACTTGCCGCCACCATGCACTCTTCCTCCAGCCGTGTCCTATCCTCCTTCCCCAACGCAGCCCTCGTCACGTACCGCTCGGCAATGTCCTTCTGCCTTGTCGAAAGCGCGAACAGCCTCACGCCCGCCCCGACCCCGCCGAGCCCCGCGTAGAACGCGCTCGAGTGCCCCACATTGAAGCATATCATCCCGCGCGCCGCCGCAGGCACCGTGACGGACGTCGCCGTCATCGCCAGATCCTCCCCGTGCGCCGCGCTGGTTGACACCACCCACATTGCCGACGGCATCTGCCGCAGCAACGTTTTGGTTTGCTTGTCCAGTGGGTAGAACGGCAGCTTGGAGCGCGGTACGTCGAGTGCCACCGCGCGCTTGGCAAGGTACGTGTCTCGGTAAATCGCCTGCACGAATTCCGCCTCGCCTAGGCTCACCGCCGTTACCACCGCCTGTACCACGGCGCACCCGCCCACGACGGAGATGTTCTTCAGCGATAAGTCGGCCGTGACGCCTGTCTTGCGCTCGTCCAGCATCAGTGACGAGGATGATGATGATGACGACGTCGAAGGCCGCGGCGCGAGAAGCTCCACCCTTACCTGGTTGAGAGGGTCTTCCGCGACGAGCGACGCCCTTTTGAAAAACTCGTCATCCGTCACAAATAAGACCACCTGCTCCGGCTGCATGGAGCACCCGCGAAAGTTGTCCAGTTCAATCTCCGCCCCGTCAAACGTGCACCGGTAGTAGTTGGTCACCGTGTGGTGCCCAATGTCACCAACCGCTTGCTGCCGCTCTGCGGCGGAGAGGCCCTTCTCATCGCCGGAGCTCGTGGACGTGGAGCTGGGCTCGCTCCGCAGGGCGGGGCTGAATATGTTTGCCGAGTAGAGGCTCTTAGCGGGTGCGTCGGGCCACGTGGCCTCGGCGCGGTCCATGATTGTGATAACCACTGACCGGTATAAGTTATACCGGTCAGTGGTTATCACAATCATAGCATCCCCACCGGTAGTGGTTATACGTTATAAGTTATAACCGGTAGTGGTTATACGTTATAAATTATAACCGGTAGTGGTTATAACTTATAACCACTACCGGTGGGGATGCTCTCAGAGCATCCCCACCGGTACGCAATCAAATCAAATCATCAAATAACAACACTTGGCACACTTTTTCTGTAATTTGATTGGCTCCCTAGAATTTGGTTGTTTCGTTATTTGGCTGTTTGATGCTTCGGAAAGAACTGCCCCACCGGTGAGAACCAAATGAAGTACATTCCCCTCGTACTCACCATCGCATCCTTGTACTCACACTCGTACTCACCCTCGTATCGCACCCTCAGTCGTAGTCGCACGCTCACTCGAAACCCATCCCGCGACCTTCTCCCTCGCCACTCTGTCTGCACTCCTTCCCTCTCACCTCCACCGTGGACAAAGACAGACTGCCGGCGCTGTCCTCCCTGCTCACGGACAGCACGCGCTCCCCACGCGACCGCGAGCAGCGCGATCCCGGAGAGAACATACGCGCCGGCGGCAGCGGTGCTGCGGCGGATGATTGGCTCGACAGCCGCGAGCGACGTTCTCCTGCGGCGGCTGCTGCTGCTGAGCAGCGAATCGCACTGCGCTAGCACTGTCTGCGCTTGTGAACCTGTCGGAGGACGAGGAGCCGGCGGCCCTGACGCACGCGGACGCGGTGCGGCTCGCAGCGCAGGTGGTCCTGGACGCGGACGTCGTCGCGCTGCACGCGGCGCTGCTGTCCAACCTGACGCGCTTCGCGCCGGGCGTGGACGAAGCGGAGGGCGCGGACGGGTTTCGGGAGAGGGGCACGCTACACATGCTCGTGGAGAGGGTACCGAGTATTCCGAATGTGCTGCGGCTGTCGAATGCGTGCGCGAGCCAGGAGGGGAGGGACGTCCTGTTGGTCGAGGGAAGGCAGGCGGAGAGACAGCTGTTGACGAGGTTGCTGAGATTGCTGGAGGCGGGGGAGGCAGAGAAGAGGCTGGCGGGGGCGAGCTGGGTGCGTAACTGCGCGATGGCGGACGAGTGCCATGATGTGTTGGTGGGGGTACGGCGGCGGTCGCAATGTGCTTGGGGAGGTCAAAGGAGGTGGGACGGGAGGAGATGGCGGAGATTCGCGCCTGGTTGGTCGAGGAAGTGTTGTTGTTGTGTAAGAGCCGGGCGGGGAAGGACGCGCTCAGGGATGGCGGGGCCGTCGACGTTCTGGAGGGATGGAAGGGGGAAGAGCATCAGGGATGGCGGGGCCGTCGACGTTCTGGAGGGACGGAAGGGGGAAGAGCATGCACGCCGTAGTGGGCATTCTGGATCGGCGGGAGACACTGGTAATCTCGAGGCAAATACCGCATCGATGCACTTTTGGTGGGAAGCCGTTTCGGTCGACCAATAGAACGTGCACAACTGGATTGTCAAGGGTAATCAAACAGAGACTATCCGAACCAAATTCTTGATATTTGGTTCCGATTTTTAGATCGACACCAAAACTTTGATGATTTGGTTGCACCGGTGGGGATTTCAATCGACATCAAATCATCAAATTTTGGTTGCTTGGGTATTTGATTCTACCGGTGGGGATGCTCTTACGACGAATTTTTTGAGTGGAAAAACAAAACACTACTCCCTCACCCTTTCGCCCGCCCCCATTCCAACCCTACAAGTAATTCCTGATCCTCGCAGGTTGGCACTGTCATCGCTATTCTCCTCCAATCCGGCGACAAAGCCAAGCGATGTCCTTTGCCAGCGCTCAGCGTGAGGGGATCTACAGCAATCCCTCTTGGATCCATGGCCCAAACCCAAACATTTTCAGAACCGGCAAGCGAACGAAATATCAAGTGTTGAATGTCTGCCAGCCCCGAAGAACGAATCTACCCGGTTGCAACCCACCATTATGGTCACTCCCAACCCGTGCGGGATTTTCCTCTATTGCTTTTCTTCCCGTCTTGTTTAGGCCTACTGCAGAGTTCTATCCTACTCCAAGTGTCATATTAGAAAGGACAGAAATAAATCTGTGGACCTCGGTGTGGTTTTCCAATTGCCCGGATTGTCGTTTGATTTCCTCCTTGTCACAGACAGACCAGTTAAAGGCCACTGCAGCGACTATTTTCTCAATCGTAGAATTTTCCGATGGCGTTCTCCTCTCGACTTCTATTCCCGTGTCCCTGGCCCTCACAAGCACGCGGTGTACAAAGTTCGCGTCAATGTACACTGTGTGTATGGGGATACGTTTTGCTTTAAACGAATAGCGGGCATGGTCCGGTCGAAATGATCTCTTTTTGAGCATAAAGGTGAAACATAGCGACTTTTTTTGGTGTAGTGGGTATTTTCAAATTCAATGCGGGCCCAATCAGCGAGTGCGCGCTGGGAGGCTTTGATTCCTGCTTGCTTTTGTCGGAAAACTTTTATGACGAGTTTTAGGGGTCTGTTGGGGGTACCCTTCTCAAGGGCTTGGTTTGGGACACTTTCCATGACACCAAAAATATAGACTTTCAGAAATTTATTCCATGCTTTTGAAGAAAAAATATCCACGCTGCAGACGGCCACTTTGTCGAGGGGCTTAATTTGGGACACCCTCGACAAGAAAAACTTCACGTTAACGTGGAAGAGAAAGTCCTACGAGTGCTGAAGTAGCTTCGTCACGCAAGGCACCCCCCTTGGGCGTGTCCTTGCGTGGAGGTTGTCCTTCCAATGTGCTGTACCATCTGGCTATGGGCAAATCTTCGCAAATCGAAGAAAATCGATCCTCACGCACAAATGTCGGGTTCACTGCGCAACCGACTCCACAATTCTCTTTTTCGATGCTCTGAGGATGTCCCACCTGTTTCTTCCTTCGAACTGTAAGTCTGTTTCCTCCGCCGCTAGCCTTTTCGGCTTTTCCGTTGTTCAAACTCTTCGAGCAAATTTTTTACGGTCAAATGTTTCGCGTTTTTGCCACCTACAAGAGCCCAATTGGGCAAAGGTGACGTCTCTTGAGTTCTCGTAGTACCACTATGTTCCCTCAAAACAGTATTAGTGAAATATTTCGATGTGGTCAGCAAGGAAATTTCAGAAAGTGCCCTCGACGGTGAAAAAGATTTGTCACAAATCTCCCGAACGCGTCTGAGAAGCCGTCTATCTGCCTCCCTCCCCTTCATTTGATGCAACTGCTGCAGGCTAAATGTATCGGACCGAGGAGAGTGACGGCAGAACGTATCAAATGGCGTGGCACGGCCCTTTTCTTTCTTATGCACAGCAGAAACAAACCTGTAGTCCACAGGCCATAATCCAGCAGTGACGAAAGATTTCTCGATTACTGGTTTTGTTATGGCTTTGTATCCCGCTGCTGCTAGTTTTAGTTTGAAGGCAATATTGGCAAACCCAATAGGGCAATTCGACAGCAATTCATCACGTGCAGCTCGAATGGATTGCTGAAATACACGTTTGATTGCCCGGTCACAGGGCTGCAAGAAATAACTAGTGTTTGCAAGAAGGCAAACGATTTAGACTTTGTTTTCTGCGCCATACTGCAGCCATTCTAGACTGTTACGGGACGTATGCCCGTCCAAGATAAGCACAACTTTTTTCGGGGCAAACATGCTTGCGAATAAACTTTGTCACGTGCTCCAGTGCATCTTTAATGACTTCACCATCAATTGAGCCATTTGGAGTGACACATATTCGAGTGGAGGGCGGGCACCAATCCGTTTTCGTGAGCCAGTTCAATGACCCATCCAGACATGGGAAGTCTTTTTCGAAAAAGTCATGTCAAGGTGGTTGGAGCCTTTCCAGGATCCTGGAAAGGCCCCAACCACATGACTTTTTTCCCAGAGGCAATTAAAAGTAAAGGAGCAAAGAGGCCTGATGCGGAAGCAGCTATGCCGGCAGTCACATGCTTTCCGTGATCTTTGACTGCTAGTCGTCTTCCGCCATGGTGTGAGGTAGCCGGTGTGAAAGTGCGAATCCGTTTCCGGTATACTGCCAGCATACTAGTCTCATCCCAGTTCCACAGCCTATTTGAGTCTTCAAAAATGCCCGGGTGCTTTTTTCTCTTTGCAAGAGAACATCTTTCAATGTGGTAACATGAGCGAGGTTTTCTGCACCTAGACGAGCGGCGGTAGCATTCTCGGAGTTTTGATACGTTAGAGATCGATTTCGGGCACGAAAGGAGCGGATAGCGGCGGGGGAGGGATCATTATTGCGAAATCCGCGACGGTCGTCGATGGATATTTTCGCTTGCATGCTTTGCATTGTACTAA